GCTGCTGACGTGGTTCCTCTGGTTTGGTGTTACAGGGTGTGACGGTGGAGCAGGTTTTCGTGTGCTCAGGAGTCTCTACGTCGTCCAGAATCTTCCTCCGACTCCTCCGTCTCTATAACCTGCGAGCCGTCGCTCAGCACCGGTAATGAGATCAACGTCGCCATCGTAAGTCCCGTCTGCTCTGAGAATGTGCTGATTTGGAGCTGTGGAGCCGCTGTCGTCAGCTGATCTGATCTGATTAGGATTTCATTAACATTCACCAAAAGTCTGGGATTAGAAATGGGAAAGAAGCAGGAGTTTGGAGATAAGAGCACAGACGGGGTATAACACTGTCGCTGCCACAACTAGAGAGCTTAAAGTTTCAAACCGCTGCTGCTGCAGCCAGAAAACTTAAATGCATCATGGGCGCCGGATGATTTTTTTGTGGGAATGGAAAAGCTTTCAGGAACTATTGTGTTGCATGAATCAGTGATCAGAGGGAACCAACGGCAGCGTTTGTTTAGACTGAAATGAGTTTTTCTGCTGAATATTTCAGTCGACAGACGACCCGAGAAAGGTTTGGCCTTCGTCAAGGAAATCACGGACAGAATCATGGACCTGGTCAGCAAGAGGAGCGCCAACAGCACCATCATCAGCGCCATCGCCGAGGTTCGAATCCAGAAACGACAGAGCCACGACGCCAACGGTGAGCCGCTTTACAGCTCTCTGTGTGTTTGAGCAGGGAACTTGTAGTTTGGCAAAATAATCAGGAGCAGATTAGACTTATTGTTTCGATCTCCCCCCACATTCGACCTCTTGTTAGCTGAGACGTGGTTTATAGCTCCGGGAAAAATCTAGGAATTGGCCGTGGAGTGCATGTTCATGTTTTTGTTCGGTGAATGTGTGAGTGATTTTTAAGTCCCACTTCTGACTGATGAATCATGGTTTTTCCTTCTGATTTCAAACATGTAAGATATCCCTGTAGAGTTGGGTTTCCTGTACACTGCTACTTGGCTCCATCAAGAGGGAAAATCCACCTTGTCAGTTCCAGTTTATTGAAGCGATGTAAAATGAAATCATTGTAGAGGTTAGCGTTGGAGCTGCTTGTTAACCAAGAACAGCTAGGAGCACTGACTGCACACAGCATCTCTGAAGTCCAGTAGCCTAATCCTAAACTACGCTGTAGAATGGATGCTTTTTGGTTCAGTCCCGCTGCCTCGTTTAGAGACAAGCTAACGTTCCTGTAAGGGAATTTACAAAGTCAGCAATCCGGCTCTGTGGTGTCGAATGCAAAATGCTTCCACACATTTACGTCTCAGACGGTTTAGCTGCATGATTATTAGTTCAGCACGAGTTCCCTCCATTTTAGAGAACCCGCTTCCTGGTCGGTCAATGGGGCGCAGTGGGTCAGATGGACTACCATTCGGATGTTTGAATAAGGTGGGAGCTAGGCTAGCAGGCTTTGTGCTAAACTAGACTTTCTTATTGGCTAACGCAGCAAACAAATTCCCATAATGTCAGACAGTTCCTCTACTTTTCCGTCGTGGTTGGTGTTTTTCATGAAGTGTCCTGAGCCGTTCACTGACCTCTGTTTTTCCTCTCCTTCCAGCCGACCACCTCATGCCTTTGCTGGTTTCCGCAGTGATAGTTGTCTGGGTGTTGGCGATCGCCTCCATGTTGCTGTGGTGCGTGAGGAGGCGGAGGAAGCAGAGCACCCACGCGGGGGTCAGCGCGCAGGCGTCCTCTTTGGCGTCCGTGGTTGAGGACAACAACACCCTCCATAACAGTGTCAGCACCGCCCGCGAGCAGCTCAACCACATCAAGAACCCCATCGTGAAAAACCCTGGGATCCACCACCATCAACACCACCACCTCCTCCTCCTCCATCACCACCTCTGCGAGGACAAGAACTCCGTCAACGCCAGGATCAGGAAGTCAGATACTGGGAGCCAATCGGACGAGGACGAGATGGACAAGAGGCTGCAGAAGGCGAGGTTCGCCAGGGCGCCACAGTCGTACTCGCTGGTAGACTGGGAGGAACCACCCCCCCACCATACGACAGGCAAACCCCCACACTGGACAAGCAAACAGGACAACAGGCAGCTGCAGTCACAGAGCGTCAACAGGACGGAGTACATCGTATAACCACCAGGGCTCAGAATGACTGGCTGCCCCCCCAGGTGGTGGAGGACTTTTGGTCTTTTTTTTTTTTTTGGTTCAGACTTGATTTTCAAGATGTTTTCTTGCTGTTTAATTTATGTTTTGACTGACACTGGTCTGACCGGTCCACGGCGGTTGGCTGGATCTTCGGTTTCGTGGACCCCGTTTTTTGTTAACGACGAGAAATTTGGACACGCAGGAGCCTCACGTGCACTACCAGCATCTTTCATTCAAGAATGAGTTTTGCGTTTGAATGCGGATGGATCTGGAAAGAATTTATTTATTTTGGGTTTTTTTGGGGGAGAAATTTCAGCGAAATATGAAGAATCGTCCGTGTTGAATGTTTCTGTACAGATGTGTAAATAATGTTTTAATTAATCAATGTATATTTGATTTATTAACTTAACGTCAGGAGCCTTAAGATATTCTTTTTTTATTTTTTTTATTTTTTTTATTTATGAGTATTGTTTAGAGTTGAAGGTTTGTAAGCTCACGATTTCTTTTTGATAAAACGCCAAAAGTGTTCTTGAAAGAATAGTTTATTTTTAGCCTTTTGGATTTGGGCATTTTTGTGCCTCAACTTAAATGTTTTGTACATTGTCTGTTGTTCCATGACGTTCTATTGGGATGTTCTCCAGGATGTTCTGTTGTATTTACTTTAATTGTAAATGAAGAGGAGAGGCGGGTGAGAGCTGGGGGTTTGGTTTAGCTGCTGCAGGGTTTTACACAAACCAACATGGTGGCAGACATTTTGCTTTTGCTACTGAAAACAAATTCTTCAAGGGACGCAACTTTTTTTTGTAGTACTTTTTGTATTTTGTACCGTGTATAAATATGCTTTGGATCCTGATTCCATGTTTGTAACAATCTGAATGATCAAACCTACGTCATTAAAAGCATAATGAGTAGGATTTTCCTAAAAAAGAAAACGTGTACAAAAAGAATCTCAGTCTTTATCAGATGGCGCCTTTCTACTCTTCCGACCACTGAAAGCGCTTTACACCACATGTCACATTCAAATACACTGATGGCCGATGGCATCAGGCTGTATTACAACTCAAAAATTTCTGGACTGAACGCTTCTCAGAGTCCGAGTTCCTACTTGTGAACTCGGGGCAAATCCATCTCCCTCAACTTCAAGAGGCAGCGGAGTCTGACGGCACACAGCAAAGGCTGCACCATGGAAGCATGTAATGTAAACCATCAACTAATAAGCAACATTAAGTATATTTCCCTGGATTTCATTAAAATACTACATACCTTAATGGATGTCAACATCCAGTGTTATCAGGTAGCTGGTTACATTAAAAACCTCTGAAAGTCGTCATCTCTGCACAAGAGATATCGAGGAAAGTGTTACAAATGTGAAAACATTAGGTAATAGACAACCTTTACAGACTTTTACACATTACCAACAGATGTAGCTAGACGGGAACACAGTTAACATATATTTATGTCACTCGTTTTCATAAAATGGCTCATTTGAATTTATGTTAAGGTCACTGCTGAGAGTTCAATTGTGTGTACACTTGACAAAGAAAGATCAGTCTGTCACGGTCAGCCATATTGTTTTGTTCCAGTTTAGTGTTGTGCACTTTCAACTGTGACTGGAAAGCAGCATAATCCCATTCGCACGCAGATGGCACTGTAGGGAGGGGCTTAGGTATTTTGCCCAAGGACACTTCTACATGCAGGAGGAGCTGGGGATCAAACCTGTATCAGTGAGGTCTAACGAGGTGAATTTTCTTCCACATAAAACATTTGCAAAGCCGATTTTTAAAAAGTTGAAAATTTTAAATTGTAGGCGACTTCTTTCCTGCCTTTGCGGACACGTTGCTGCGTTTCTTCAGAAGTTAGCGGCACCTGCTGATCAGTGGAATAGTGGGACGCCATGTGCAGGAATTTATTTTCTTGTGTGAGCAAACAAAACTCTGTACTAGCAGTCTGAAACTCCACAGGGAACCTTCACCTTATGAAAAATCTTGATCTTTTTTATATTTTTGGAGATTTTGGTTATATATATGTGGTATTACACAGGTGGCTAAAATATCTTGATAACGAACCCATTACTGTGATCCAGTTGACCCTGACCGTTCGATAGAAACAATGCTCATATCATTCAACCATTGAGAGTCTATTCAAGGATCAAAAAACTGCAAGAAATACAAACCGGGGTGTATATGTTTTTTATCTTTAGCACTGTTTGCCACGCTTACCCGACGTGGCAAACTGGAACGTCTCTATGAATGTAATGACTTGCATCGTTTGTAGTTGCAGGCTAGTTTGCAATGTGCTAATTGTCTAGATGTAAGCTAGGAGCACATATAGTGAACTTTAAAATGTGACTTAATTTAGAACATAGTCCAGCAGTTAAAACCTCCAGAGACACACAAGATCATGTAGGTTCTTGGTCCAGTGCAGAAAAGCAGCTCTCTGAGCTATCACAGAGAATAATTAGATCTGCACTGTGGCTCAGTTTGCATTCTTCCTCTTTTCTTCAGCCGAAGCTCCGACGGTAGGACCACAGCAGGCTGGATGTCACACAGCAGGCCTGAAGTAAGAGCAGCTCCTCGCTGCTGTAAGCGGGTCACCTGTTGCCGTTATCAGGCTGTAATGCGAGGCCATTGCAGCTCAACCATAGCATTGCATACGATGGCGATCACTGAAACTTATGATCATGTTTGAGCAGGATCTAGGATGACTAACTTAAACATTTAAAGGAGATGTGGTGCGCCAGAGCAGTCTGTGCTGTCGCAGCAGAGCATGCACCAGTCGGGTTCCAGTGCGTTCACACTGACAGCTGCGGCAAAATGCAGTGCACCACGAGTACCCTGATGGTGGAACAGGTTGGTTTTTACCCACTGAGCTCTACTGTTCTGCTGCAGATAGGACATCCGGATATTTATTTGATTCATTTGGCGGTAAGGCTCTGTCCGGTTGCAATTAGCCATTAAAACGAAGAATATGCGGTCAAATGCTGTGTCATTGTCATTTTACACTAAGTGCACCGCCGTGTGTACAGTGGACTACAGTGAAGTGTACTAACAGCAGGATCTGAACTGAGACAGCTCTGGAGTTCAGCTTGCTTTATTGGAAGTACTTCAGAAAAGAGAAAAACTCAAAATGAAGTCTTCATGGATAAACAGGCTAACCGCTGACGTCTGGACAATGTCGGCTAACACGGAGCTCCTGCTGTCCCTGAGTCACTGATGCCCTTCCAGAAATTTGGAGCCCTTGTTGAAAAGAAGAGTCTTTTCTGTAATTTCATGTGTTTGGTTGATGTGGGCCAAGGGCTTCGGATTGTTGCTCTTTTGACCCAAACATCTCTCCTAACAAGGGCATTTATCAGAGGTTGCTTCGTCTTTCAAGCCGTCCTCTGGTTTTCATCTGTTTCACACGCGTTTATAAAGAGAACACAATGATAAACAACATTTTGAATAAAGGCTTTTCCTTCAGGAATATTTCCCCGATACCCAAACGTTCCGTGCTCCTCTTCAGTTGTGGTCGGCTCGGAGGGGAAGGCTGTGTTTATGTGCATTCTTCTGAAGTTGTGCAAACAGAGGACGAGGGGAATCCGAATCAAAAGATTTTTTTGTGGCCGGTTACGACATGATGCCAATCCCCTCCCTGTTTGTAAAACCCTCTCATCCCCTTCCTCTCGCTCTAACATTATGGTCTCGCCTCTGTCCAGACCACAACGCCACTCTCAGACTCCAACGGTCACGTTCTTCCTAAAAAATCAAATTCAGAAGAAAATCCTTTTTGTACTGTCTAATGTTTAGTTCAAATCATATTTGTTCTACAATCCTGTTGACAACATTTCTACAATTGAAATGTCAGTGCAGCTGCTGGATTGACTTCATTTAACCGGCAAACTCAAACATGTCCAATGACCTGGCTCAAAAGGCCGCAACAAAAGGGAGACACACCATGGTAAAAGTTTAACAAAATATGTTCATTAAACCAAAATTAACCAAATTAAGGCTGGTGCAAAGGAAAAGTGAACAAGTATGGGGTATGAACATCAGTGGTTTCAGTCGGGTCAGGATGATGGATGCATGGAAAATGTGTGTGAGGGTGTCGTAATGTGCAAGAAATAATAATAACTATCAACTAAAACAACATATCCAGAAACCAAGGCGAAGGTGGAACCTGTGGAGCGAAACAGAGGATGGCAAGTTAGCTGAGAGGTCTGTTCGTCCTCAGCCCAGCAGCGATCTCCCCTAAGGATGAGAATAAAATGTTAACTACTCTAGAGGGCAATTAGCCCAGGTGCCCAAAGTTACTGCAATCAGCTCTTCCTCTACAAGGAAGAGAGAGAGGCCACACCCACACATGACCTCACAGGGCGTCACAGATACATAGATAATCCATCACAGTATGCATTTATGTGAATTATAATGCGGCAGGGAACGAGTGTTAAACTGAAGTGTGCGTGAATCACCACACAACGATAATGTCTTTAACAAAAGCAGGACTAAGTCAGATCTCCTGCCAGAGTCTCAGAGAGGCTGCAGCAGAGCTCATTGCAAGAGTTTGAATTAAAAAAATAGCTCATGAAATCTGAACCCTCTATTTCAGTCTAAAATTACTTTTTATTGTCTGAGAAGGCTGTGACCTGAAAACGAGATGAACAGCAGAAGAAATTAAATGTTGATTAAATGTATCCGAATCGTTGAGATAACAGCTGGACTACGAGCTGCTATATGCGTAAAATAATCAGAATCCTTTATTGATCCCCGAGGGGAAAATCTTTAGGAGACTCCAATTACTATCGATCCACCACAGAGTCCACACGAGGCTCAGGATGTTTAAAGCACTGGAGGTCCAAGAAGCCCCTAATATTAAAAAGCAATGGTGGACAAAATATTCAGATCCTTTACTTTAGAAAAAAGAACTAATATCACACTTTAAAACTACTCGGTTACAAGTAAAAGTACTGCAAATGTGTTAAAAGTATTAAAAGTTAAAATACTCAGTGCAGAAAGAAAAATGTTCCCTGTGATTATTCATATTAGATCATTATTATTCCTCATGCATTCATGTAAAAGCAGGATTTTACTTTTATTTCATTTTTAACAATTTTGTACCATTTAATGATTATTTTCATTCTGGATTAATCTGCTGATTATTTTCTCCATTAAATCGATTTTGAAAACATTGTGTGAAATGCCGTCACAGTTACCCAAAGCCCAAAGTGACACCTTCACAGTGCTCACATTGTCTAACCAACAGTACAAAACTCAATATTATTACCAAAAAATCTAAATAATTTAAAGGAAAAGCAGCAAATCTTCACATGTGTGAAGCTGGAACTATAAAATGTTTTTACATGAAAAATGACTTAAACCATCCAACGACGGTTGAGGGCAAGAACAACTGGACTTGGTTGAAGATACTGGAAGACGTTTCGTCCCTCATCCAAAGGACTTCTTCAGTTCTGACTGACTGGCAGGGAAACTCAGCTATTTAACCTCAGTGGGGTCGTTGGCCCGGGTCATCGATACCGCTGGTTCGTTAGTGTTCCTTGTTGCTGTGACGACAGTTGTTACAGTCGTTAAGACTACCTGTGGCCAAGACTGAACGACCATCGTTGGTATCTTCACCTGAGGCCAATAGGTTCCGTTTGTTGAGTTTCCTGGGAAGTGATGAAAGGACAGCATTGTAAGTGGGGGATAAGTGGTGGCGTAGACCCCCTCCCCTGTTCAATGACGGCTTCTCAACCCTGGTGTAGATGGCTTCCTTGACACCTCTTTCAAACCATCCATCTTCTCTGTCTAAAATGTGCACCTGGTGGTCCTCAAACGAGTGTCCTCTGTCCTTCAGATGTAAGTAGACTGCAGAGTCTTGACCTGAGGAGTTGGCCCTTCTGTGTTGAGCCATGCGTTTGTGTAGTGGTTGTTTAGTCTCCCCAATATACAGGTCTGTG